TGTTTTAACTTTTTCCCCAATTGGAATTATTTTGATTTTAATTAGATTATCATGATTTACTCCTTTGGGAATAAATCTATCTGCTCTGGTCGATTCAGGTTGCGATTTCAACCTAATCGATCTTTCCTTAGTCCACCAGGCCAAGATATCCACTGTTCCACTGCTCATGCCCCTCCAGGTTTCTGCCCTGGATGCGGGAAGTCTCCCACGGGTTACCCACCAGACCAGAGCCCTGGAGGTTGTTATCTCCGGCAACCAGTGGTATCAGGTTCCCTTCATTGTTTTCCCTGTTAAACACGCCTCTGTTGTCTTGGGGTTTTCCTGGCTGAAGCAGCACAACCCCCACATTACCTGGGTGGAACGCTGGCTAGAGTCCTGGTCGCTGGCTCGTCACTCTTGCTGTTTACAGTCTGCTCTCCCTACCAGCCACCCGCCACTTAGACCTATTAAGGAAGGGGACTCCCTAGATCCCCGCCTTGTCCCAGAGCAATACCATGATTTACGGCACGTGTTTAGCAAAAAAGGCCGATGCTTCCGCCTCACCGCCCCTACTATTGCGCAATCGACCTCTTGCCCGGTGCATCACTGCCCACTAACTGCCTTTACAACATCTCCCGAGCTGAACAGCAAGCATTGGAGAAATACATTAGTGAGTCTCTCCTCACTGGCCTGATCCGTCCCCCCCCCACCGCTCAAGGCTGACTTTTACTTTGTGGGTAAAAAGAACGGATCGCTCAACCCATGCATCGACTACTAGGGACTCAACCAAATCACCATAAAGAACAAGTATCCGCTTCCTCTCCTCTCTTCTGCTTCGATTCGGTTCAATTTGCATTGATTTTCACAAAACTACATTTATGCAACGCATCCCACTTAGTGCGGATCCGCCGATGGGATAAGTGGAAGACAGCTTGACAGCAGGGTCAGCTGATCAACGCCAGAGTGTTAGCCTTCTGTGGTATGCCTCAGTTGGCACTGTCTCCTGACAGCAACTCGATCTCAGAATGATTTTGGTTTCCTGTCCCTCTCAGGTTGCCGAGGTCCCCACCGAATAACCCGGACCCTGTCAGCCTGCTGCAGCTCTTTGCCATCACGCCGTTCGGATTCTGCTCATCCTCCAACAGCCAGCTCCCTGTTACCTCAGCCTCCTAACCCGGGAGCTCCATCTCTTGGTGGACCGGCTGTCTGCTCCTCTTCTTACCCCCCTGGCCGAGTCCCCTCACGCGCACAAAGACAGCAAACAGCTGATCGCTCTCTTTCTCTCTCTCTCGCTAACTTTCAGATTCTCTCCGCAGTTTGTGCATACCTGGCCAGCGTCGGTGCCGGTTCCTCCCATGTTCCAGCTGCGGTCCAGTTGCGCTCTTGCGCCCCCCTCCGACCCTGAATAAATCTGTTAAATTGTTCTCCTGACTCCTTTGTGTGCTCTGCATGTGGGTTAGACAATTAAAAACCATGACACCAAAGAACATTGTCTCCAAAGTACTGTCCCAGCTTGTGCTGCCATGTTGTTTTTAGAGAGAAGAAGCAATATCCTTTAACCCTTGACATCCTGTTACCAGGTCAATGGGAGCTGTTGCCTCTTAAGGCTACTCAGTTGGGTGTCCTTTATTCATTAGACAAATGCAAGGTAGACTCACAGATGTTAACGTAAAACTCTCGCAATAAACCTCTAAGGGAGAAAATTCTGCACAGAGGGAAGCAGTCTTCATGTCATATTATTTTAAAAGTAAAACAGAGCTGAAGGATTTTTTTTTTCTTATTGCTGCATATGCTCCAAAGGAACATTCTATAAAAACTGCTGCTTTTATGCACTGCTACCGATACTGATTCATAATTAGTCAATCCGTCTGTTTGATCATCATCACTCGGCTGCTTCTTTACCTCTTCATTCCTGAAGAACAAGAAAGGCTGTAATCAGTTGAAAGGGGCGGAGCAGGATGCTCAGCTCATGATGAAACTGTAACTTAGTTGGATTAGAACCCTGATACTCTCTGTGGGTACAATAAAGCACACTGCATGCAGGGAAGGGCGGCAACCAAAAAAAAAATAAACCCATCAGAACAGAGGAACAGAAAATCATATTAGAGAGAAAAACAACAAAAGACTTAAGCAGGAAGGAATGGCAATCTGGACAAGGTAATTTTCAGCTCCAAGGAGGTAACAACACACACAAAGCAAATTAGCTCTTGGTAAAATTAGAAATTGAAACACTCAGTGGAAATATCTACGAAATGTATCTCTGTGAGCACTTTATCCACAGAGTTGTGATTTTCTTTGACCCGGTACAGTAAGCAAAGCTGACTGTTCTTCAGTATTATTTTAGGCAAGTGTGCATCTGTATCCTGCTGAAACTGACGGAGAAACTGTTATCTTTAGCTGAAGTCATGTTGGGTGTTTTCACTTCTCTTTCTGAGTAGGCTGCCCCAAAGAAATACTGGTCAAGGACTGTTATTTTCCATTTTGTGATAAATCAAATGTTCTAGTTATTTTGCTGGCAATAAAATCTATAAAGAGGTGAAGAGAGATCTAAGTGTTAAACACGTTTTGCATGCAACACACTCCTCTTCAATCCTGCTAAAGGGACACACAATATTGGGTCATTTCTTTGTTTCCTAAATTTGAGTTTTAGATAGTTGGACCTTCTGTCTGGTTTGTTCAGCATAATATTATCAGCCAACTGTTGCATCTGTTCTCTTTAATAAGAACAACAAATGTAGACAAACTGAGTTGAAACAAACCCTTACATGTCGATTAGCAGTAGAAATATTTACTGTCTTTTGATCAGGCAACAGGGCTGCTCAGTTGAGGAGTGGGTAGCACTGCTGACTTGCAACAACGAAGTTCAGGGTCGATTCCTAGCCTGGGGTCTTTCTGCATGGAGTTTGCATGTTCTCCCTGAGCATGTGTGGGTTCTCTCCGGGTACTCTGACTTCCTCCCAATGTACAAAAACATTACTGTTGGGTGAATGTGCTTCCCTAAATTCTCCTTAGGTGAGTGTGTGTGCATAAATGGTTGTTTGTGTCTGTGTTGCCCTGCGATGGACTGGCGAACTGTCCAGGATGTACCCCGCCTCTTGCATAGGTGGAGATAGGCACCAGCGCCACTCACAGCCATGCTTGGGGTAAGCGTGATGGAAAATGGATGATCAGGCAACTGTGTGGTGTAGTATTAATTGCTAAATATACTGTTAATGTAATGATCATTGGAACATCAGCTTGATATTAGATAACATAATTATTGTTTGTGTTTTTTAACACTACTGTTAAATTAGTTTTACAAAAATATCTAAGATTCACTTATATTTAATGATATATGAAAGAAAAAAGAGAAGACATTTTTTTGTCTAGGAATTAGTCTGCTTGAAAGAAGAAGCATAGCAAAATCCTAAAACCCGGTTTATTGTTCCCAATCATTGATTTTGAAAACCAAATTGTGAAGAGTAACAGGTGGAAACAGGGCTGTGACGGGAAACAGTGAGAGAGATTTGGGTCAATGCATTATTAGATTAGCACTCCGATGAGCACAGGTTTATAGTGCAAAAACATTCTCTAAAAGGTCAGCCTTTGGTTAGAAGTAAGCTACAAAGACTCAAATTCCTTCTGCCCAGATGACGTCCCTAGAAGCAGAAAAAGCTCCAGTGATTCACTGGTTTACAGTTATGGGGAAGTGAAGTGAAAAAAAGCCTATTGTTAGGCATTATTGCTCACTACATTGTGGGAGGGAAGCCTGAGAATGTAAATGGCAATCGCCATGGCTACAGTGGGGTCATTAAGGCAATGTCATTGCAATGGCTTCCTTGGGGAACAGAGAGAATGATAGACGCATTGAGTCCTGACTAAACAAAGTTTCTGGAAATTTGTTAATGATGTTAAAGAAAGAACCACACTGAGCAACCTGACCAGGCCACACACAGACCTGCGCCCAACAGAACAATGTGTTGTGCTGGACTGGCGGTGTAGCAATGTGGAACCAGGCTGCAAGAATTAACGAACTCAAACTGAGGGAGGGCTGAACAACACTGGACTGGGAGACACGTCTGACAGTCTTCCTGCAACCCACGGCTGCTCTCTGTGGACCACAGTCAGACTTAATGGACCCTGTCTTTGCTGTTGGGCTTCAGTGAAACATTAATGTGTCTGTGTTGTTGCACTTAAAGTCCAAATTATTGTGTGGTGAGAACATGACTATATGGTCCTTCTGATCCGCCCTTCTGTATTTGTGTAGAACTTCCCTCTCTCCTTGAATGAGACATTAACAGACATGGGAAACTCTTCAATGTTGCCGACTTCAGAAGAGTAGGAAACGTCTTTTCAATTCCCTTTGATGAGGCTTTTCCTCTCTGGCCCAACTGTTACAGGTATTTGTAACTTCTATTTGGGAGTAATGATAGCTGCAAATTAAGAAAAAGCCATATCAAACCTTTAGCTCCATATTCGAGTTATTGTGTTTTTCTATGGTTGTATAAATTTAGTTAAACCACAGTGGTGACCTAAATTTTCACTAACTATTTACTGTACTAAGTGTATTTGTTTGTACAATTTGTATCTAAAATAATTTACATTTATCACACAATGATTGAGCAAAAACACATTACATTATTAAAAAAAAAAACAATATTCTATGCATTTTTGACATAGCCTAACTACACTGACCGCCACTGATAAAAGCAAAAATAAAAAAAAAACAAAGAACACACAATAAAGCCAGGCATACACTGTGCAATGTTTGTTTCTTTTTGAGATGATTTTCAGGTGACAAGTTTGGGAATTGGGCTGATCTTGACCATATCATGTGTTGTGCAGTATATAAGGGTATCCCGAGAGGCGATAGGCACCTCAGGATGAGCTCCACTGTAGATCGCAAGAAAATTAACTCTGTTTGACATTTTATTGATATTTTCACATTATGCATGCACAGAACAAAAACTGAAGTTTCTTCTTCTTCTATCGCTAGCTGCCTCTATTTATTGTGTTGTATGCAGGGATTGTTCAAGACCCCATCTTGCCTCTGAGGACGTACAGTGTGAGTAGTCAGATTGCATTGAAAATACTGTCCGTAAAGTGTGAGGACATACACTCACCGGCCACTTTATTAGGTACCCCATGCTAGTAACAGATTGGACCCCCTTTTGCATTCAGAACTGCCTCAATTCTTCGTGGCATAGATTCAACAAGGTGCTGGAAGCATTCCTCAGGGAGTTTGGTCCATATTGACATGATGGTATCACACAGTTGCCGCAGATTTGTCGGCTGCACATCCATGATGCGACTCTCCCGTTCCACCACATCCCAAAGATGCTCTATTGGATTGAGATCTGGTGACTGTGGAGGCCATTTGAGTACAGTGAACTCATTGTCATGTTCAAGAAACCAGTCTGAGATGATTCCAGCTTTATGACATGGCGCATTATCCTGCTGGAAGTAGCCATCAGAAGTTGGGTACATTGTGGTCATAAAGGGATGGACATGGTCAGCAACAATACTCAGGTAGGCTATGGCGTTGCAACAATGCTCAATTGGTACCAAGGGGCCCAAAGAGTGCCAAGAAGATATTCCCCACACCATGACACCACCACCACCAGCCTGAACCGTTGATACAAGGCAGGATGGATCCATGCTTTCATGTTGTAGACGCCAAATTCTGACCCTACCATTCGAATGTCGCAGCAGAAATCGAGACTCATCAGACCAGGCAACGTTTTTCCAATCTTCTATTGTCCAATTTCGATGAGCTTGTGCAAATTGTAGCCTCAGTTTCCTGTTCTTAGCTGAAAGGAGTGGCACCCGGTGTGGTCTTCTGCTGCTGTAGCCCATCTGCCTCAAAGTTCGATGTACTGTGCGTTCAGAGATGCTCTTCTGCCCACCTTGGTTGTAACGGGTGGTTATTTGAGTCACTGTTGCCCTTCTATCAGCTCGAACCAGTCTGGCCATTCTCCTCTGACCTCTGGCAACAACAAGGCATTTCTGCCAACAGAACTGCCGCTCACTGGATGTTTTTTCTTTTTCGGACCATTCTCTGTAAACCCTAGAGATGGTTGTGCATGAAAATCCCAGTAGATCAGCAGTTTCTGAAATACTCAGACCAGCCCTTCTGGCACCAACAATCATGCCACGTTCAAATTCACTCAAATGACCTTTCTTCCCCATACTGATGCTCGGTTTGAACTGCAGGAGATTGTCTTGACCATGTCTACATGCCTAAATGCACTGAGTTGCCGCCATGTGATTGGCTGCTTAGAAATTAAGTGTTAACGAGCAGTTCGACAGGTGTACCTAATAAAGTGGCCGGTGAGTGTACATCGCAAGCTTTGAACTGAGCTCTGCGCTT